TCTACCACTTGAACCACCGTTCCACTTTCGGTTTTCTGGTGGTTCATTGGAGATAAGAGTCTCATGGACTTTGCTTGCCTGGGCTGGCTTTGAACTGTGATCCTCAGATCTTAGCCTCCTGAGTAGCTAGGATTATAGCGTAGCGTTTCTTATTTAAAGTCCATACTTACTAATCCAAGAGTGTGTGTGTGTGTGTGTGTGTGTGTGTGTGTGTGTATTTCATGGTCGGAATATTTTGGGATCATCACCTACTTAGGTGTACCTATGGGTGTAGACTGAGGTGAGGTTGAGGAGGATGAGGCTAATGGGGGCTGGGACAAGGGTGAGGCATTTATATTAGAAGTACACCCTTGAGAGGTTACCCAGAAACTTGTTTAATACAAATAACAGTTTAATACTGGTTCTTCTCCCTCCCCCCTCCCCCCTTCCTTCCTGGCTCTTGATCTCAGGGCCTGGGTACTCTCTGAGTTTTGTTGCTCAAGGCTGATCCTCTATCATTTGAATTGTAACTCCACTTCTTTTTTCTGGTTCATTGGAGATAGGGCTAATGGGCTTTCCTGCCTGAGCTGGCTTCTAACAGTGACACTCAGAGCCCTACCTCCTGAGTACCTAGGATTACAGGCATGAACACTGATGCACAGCTAGTACTATATTCTTTAAAAATAAATGATGGAAATGAGTGGTGATGAGTAGGATTATTCACAGTGCACAACACTATACTGATTTTGTCTTCTACTTATTTTGGGCTTGATTTGCTCACCTGTTTCTGTTTTATGAAGGTCAAAACAGAGTCATTTCTATTTTTATTATATAATCACTTAAAGTTATAAAGTTTCCCTTAAAGTACTCTTTCAGGTGCATAATAAAGACACTAATGGTATATACTTACTATTTTCCCTCCCCCAAGCATTTTCTAATTTCTCTTTGAAATTGTTATTTGGCTTAGGATTATTTAGAAAGGTGTTTCACTTTTAAACACTAGTAACTTGACTCCATATTGTTTTAGCATACTTACTTTTTGTGTTCATTTATTGTTCTTTTTTATTTATTTTTTATTTTTGGGTCCGGTTGTGGGACCTGAACTCTGGGCCTGAGCGCTGTCCCTCAGCTCTTCAGCTCAAGGCTAGTGCTCTACCACTTGAGCCATAGCGCCACTTCCGGCTTTTTTCTTTTTGCTTATGTGGTGCTGAGGAATCGAACCCAGGGCCTCATGCATGCAAGGCAAGCGCTCTACCACTGAGCCAACTTCCCAGCCCATCATTTATTGTTCTTAACAGAAAGTACAACTACATGGCACAAAATTCAAGTAAGTATGTGCTAAGTCACACCTCCTACCTCTCTTAGGCTGTATTTTTTCCCCACTAAATTTTTTCTAGATGGAATTTCTATTCTTAATTGTGTAATCTCCTAAAGATGTTTTCTTCATATGCAAAAGCAAGAACAGATGTAGTTTCTTTTGCTTTACATTAGCATACCACTGTGTACACTCTTCTGTACTTTTTTTTTTTTTTTTGCTGGTCGTGGGGCCTGAACTCTGGGCCTGGGCACTGCCCCTCAGCTCTTCAGCTCAAGGCTAGTGCTCTACCACTTGAGCCATAGTGCCACTTCCAGCTTTTTCTGCTTATGTGATGCTGAGGAATCGAACCCAGGGCCTCATGTATGCAAGGCAAGCACTCTACCACTGAGCCACCTTCCCAGCCCCCTCTTCTATACCTTTTTTTTTTTGGTTCCGGTCATGGGGCCTGAACTCTGGGCCTGGGCGCTGTCCTTTAGCTCTTCAGCTCAAGGCTAGTGCTTTACCACTTGAGCCACAGCACCACTTCCGGCTTTTTTCTTTTTGCTTATGTGGTGCCTCATGCATGCAAGGCAAGTGCTCTACCATTGAGCCACCTTCCCAGCCCCTATGCTCTTTTTTTTTTTTTTTTTTTTAATACTTAACATTTTATCTTAAAAATGCCAGGGGCTGCCTAGCATGCATGAAGTCCTAGGTTCCATCTCCACTGTAATAAATACATTCATACATAAAAGAAAACTTGGATTTTTGAGTCGGGAGCTAACTGATCTGTAAAAATATGTTTATCTTTTCATTAATGAGTATTTCCAATGTCAGTGAAAAAAACTTTTTTAGAAAACACCACTTTTTATTTATTGCTTTTGTACTAATTAGATATTCTAAACTTTCTTTTATCCTTCTTGTTGAACATCCCGGTGGTTCCTATTCCTCAGTATTAAAAATAATCTATGAATTATTCAAGATTCAAACTGTCTTAAACCTTTAAGATGATTTGTTGGAGGTTTATTAGGTGGCTCTACCATAATCTTAAAGGAGTGTTCATGAGGGGTAGGGATCTGATATCTGTGCTTGCTTTGCTTGAGTTGTGAACTGCTTAGGGGCCAGAATTCTGTGCTAATTGTTTTGGGTCCCTGGTTCCCAAGGGTATAACTTCAAAGCCTCTTCAGCCTCGTAGTGTTTTCATTGTTTCCTGCCTTGGAACAGCACAATTACTGTTCATTATTTCCTGCTTATAAGGCAAAAAAAAAAAAAAATCATGGTGATGAAGTGGAAAAATAAGCTAGATTTCTCTGCTCCTGAAGTTCAAAACTTGTTTTTTGAGCAGTGTTAATTTTTTTTTTTTTTGCCAGTTGTGGGGCCTGAACTCTGGACCTGGGCACTGTCTCTCAGCTCAAAGCTCTACCACTCGTGCTACAGAGCCACTTCTGGCTTTTTCTGCTTATGTGGTACTGAGGAATCGAACCCCGGGCCTCATGCATGCAAGGCAAGCACTCTACCACTGAGCCACCTTCCCAGGCCTGAGCAGTGTTAATTCTAAATGAGCTACTTGTTTGCCTTTTTTTTTTGTTGTTGTTGTTCATTTTTTGGTACTGGGGTTTGAACTTGGGGCCTTGAATTTGCTAGGCTGGCATTTTGCTGCTTGAATCAAGCCTCCAGACCTACTATTTGATGGTTATTTTGGAGATGAAGGCTCTCACACTTTTCAGCCTGGATTTGACCTGCCATCCTCCAGGTCTCAGCCTCCTGAGTAGCTAGGATTATAGAAATGAGCCACCAGTGTCCAGCTTGCTTGCCTTTTGATATTTAAATTATGTTTAATATAAGCAAAACCTCTCTTTTAAAACATGTACAAATAGGTTGAAGCCTTGGTAAGTTTGGGTCGTTGCTCTGCCTCTAGCACTAGGAAATGTTTAAAATGTATGCAGCACTATCTTACAGATATTTGTCCTTTTAAAAATCAGTGAAAAATTGGGGCTGGGAAGGTGGCTCAGTGGTAGAGTGCTTGCCTTGCATGCACGAGGCCCTGGGTTCTATTCCTCAGCACCACATTAAACAGGAAAAAAAACCCTGAAGGTGGTGCTGTGGCTCAAGTGGTAGAGCGTTAACCTTGAGCTGAAGAGCTGAGGGATAGCACGCAGGCCGAGTTCAGGCCCACGACCAGACACCCTCCCCCCCCCCAAAAAAAAAAGTGAAAATTAATTGTACTGGAATTTAGCTTTGATCTCCTATGTGGCAAAGCAAAAATAAGAAGTAAGCCAGGCCCTGGTGGCTCATGCCTGTAATTGTAGCTACTCAGGAGACTGAGATCTGAGGATCACAGTTCAAAGCCAGCCTGGCAGGAAAGTCCATGAGACTCTTATATCCAGTAAACCATCAGAAAACCAGAAGTGGTGCTATAGCTCAAGTGGTAGAGTGCTCACCTTCATCTGAAGAGCTGAGGGATAGCTCCCAGGCCCAGAGTTCAAGCCCCACGACCACCACCACCAACAACAAAGAAGTGGTCATTAGTTAGAGTCTGTGGGGAAAAAAAACTACTATATGCTATATTACTAATACTCCATTAAGTATTCTTTTTTTTTTGCCGGTCGTGGGACCTGAACTCTGGGCCTGGGCGATGTCCTTCAGCTCAAGGCTAGCGCTCTACCACTTTGAGCCACAGCGCCACTTCCAGCTTTTTTTGCTTATGTGGTACTGAGGAGTTGAACCCAGGGCCTCATGCATGCAAGGCAAGCACTCTACCCCTGAGCCACTTTCCTAGGCCCTCCATTAAGTATTCTTAGTTGTGTAGGTTAGTGATAAGAAGCTTCTTTTGTTTTGTTTTGGTCTTGAGCCTGGAACTGTGGGCCTGGGACTGTATCTGAGCTTTTGTGCTCAAGGCTAGTGATCTATCACTTGACACACAGTTCTATTTTCAGCTTTTTACTGGTTAAGAATTTCTTGGGGGGCTGGGAAGGTGGCTCAGTGTAAGAGCGCTTGCCTTGCATGCATGAAGCCCTGGGTTCGATTCCTCAGCACCACATAAGCAAAAAGAAAAAAGCTGGAAGTGGTGCTGTGGCTCAAGTGGTAGAGTGCTAGCCTTGAGCTGAAGAGCTGAGGGACAGTGCCCAGACCCAGAGTTCAGGCCCCATGACCGGACCTCCCCCCCCCAAAAAAAAAAAAAAGTAAGAATTTCTTGGATTTTCCTGCTTAGACCTGCTTTGAAACTCAGTCCTCAGATCTGAGCCTCCTTATTAGTAGCCAGGATTATAGGTATGAGCCACTGGCTCCAGTTTTCTTCTTGCCCCTTACTCCCCTCCCCTTCCCCTTCCCTATGAAGTTAGTAATCCTAGCTACTCAGAAGGCTGAGATATGGAGATCAGAGCCAACCTGGGCAGGATTTCCATGAGACTTTTATCTCTTATTAAGCACCAGAAAAGCCAGAAGTGGAACTGTGACTCAAGTGGTTAATGTTAGCCTTGAGCAGAACAGTTCAGGAATAGGACCCAGGCCCTGAATTCAAGCCCCAGGATCTGCACAGGAAAAAAAATATGGAGCAAAGTTTTGCACAGAGAAGTGCTAACGTGTTTTAGCTCTAGTGTCGCTGTTGGGTGTTTTGTGGTTGGTCATGGTCAGTACTTGGAAAGGGCTGGGGTTGTCATTGTTCTTGTGTTACAAATACAGCAGTTGAGGTTCTGACTAGTGAAATGATTTTTTCTTTGTCCCACAGGTAACTGAACTTCTTTTCATCTTCCAGTCACAATTCAGTGCCTTCTCCAGCCTCCCACCCCCGAAATCCTCCAGCATTTCTGAAGGGAGGTATAGTAAATTGTTACAAAACTCTACAAGACGCGTGAATAGTGACAAAACTGCCACCTTTGGGAGTTTGTTGTACTGTGAGACCTGTTTGTTTCCTTTCAGAAAAGGTGATTATATCCTTAATTATGAATTATGACTAACACTATCTTAACTGTTATCAAGCCATAGTTTTTGTTGATTGACTAACATTTTCCTAAAAATTACCTGTTCTTATAGTGGAAGCAGTGAGACACCGTGGCAGAAGCGCATGCAGGAAGTTAGCTTGCTATAGGATACCAAGTGTTCCAAAGTTAGTGTGTGATTAGCAGTCATTAATTGGTGTTACTATATTATAAAAATGTTCAAGTTACTTAAACCTGTAATTCAGGATTAAAGCCAATTTAGAACTGTTAAAGGAATTAGAGTTATACATGTGTGATATGAACAGTACTTTTTATTTGCATTCCTCCTATTGGCTGACATAAAAGCATTTGTCAGTGTTTTGCTGTTCCAAGAAGTATTACCTTTGTGTTTGGGATTAAGGCAAACAGAAGTGTGTAGCTATATGAGAAATGGAAAGTAATTATATTTTTATGAACTACTCTTAGTGACCTTTATAAGCAATTTATTTCTTAGTTGTTGATTCCTGGTGACCTTCACATTTAAGGTTAGGTTTCTGTAGGTAAGCCAGATGGGGCAAAATTCTGTATAGCATTTGAAGGGGTTTGAAGTTCTCCATTCTTAATGATCTTGCTCTCAGCATTGTTTACTAGTCTAATGATTTTTTAAAAAACAAATGTGTTTTTACACTCTGTTTTGTAGTGGAAAGTCTAGGAGTCTGAACATACTACAGTTTTGTGACTTTTTAAAAATTATTAAATTAGTTGAGGGGGGATTTCAGAGACCCATGAGGAGGGACAGGCAGTTTAGAGGCCTTGAGGTAGGCAAAGAATAGTAGAGTAGGGAAGGCTGTGTGATGGTTGGAAGCCAGGATACTAGGGGTTATGAGAAGAAGAGGTTGAGATGTGGGTGTAGAGAAAAGAGCTATGTCATGGAGGGCCTGGCTGACCATTCTGAGTGTATTGGTACCTGTTGTGGGGATGTTTGGGTACTGTTTTGGAGATCTGAGCAGAGGAGTAAAGTAGTATGACTGCTGTTATTTATGTTATCAGTACATTGGCCAAGCTGAGGATAGAAACAGAGGAAGCAGGCTGGAGATATTAGAAGTACGCAGATACTGACTGTGTTCTAAGGTTAGGATCATAGGTTTTGCTGATACTGCATTGAGGTAGAGAGAGATAGAAAGTGAGTAGAGCATTAGGTGTGAGGCCTCAACAAACGATAATACCTTTCTTGTGAATTTTAATTGAATGAGTTTGCTTGTTGAGTAGGACCTACAGTTGCTTTTAATTAGGGTTATATGAATGAAACGTTTGATTTGAAGATTGAAGGAATGGTATAGTGAATTTCACAATAGAGATCTCTTTAAAAAATTTAGATTTTTTTTCTTACTGTGGTCTGTTTCTGCTTAAGATTTACTGGGTTAGGAACTTAGAAGCAAAATTTGTTTTTAATATTTAGCAAGAACAAAATAAGAGTAATCATATCACCAGACAGTTAGTACTCTGGCGCGTTGCTTGACTTCTGTCAAGTTTCCTCTTCTGTCAGAGAGGGAGGCAACTACTTTTTTGGGATTGTGTGACTGATTAAAGGCAGTTACTATAGGTATATCTTGTATACAATTACTCTTATTAGGGTATAGATTATTCCTTTTAATTGCTGGCAGTATCCTCTTCATCCTCTTCTGTTCTCCCTAGCTGTTGTCTGCTCCTGGTTCTCAGTGGCCTGATGGTTCCTCTGCTCAGTTTTCTCTAGCTCTGCTTCAGTCCTAGTGAGCACTTAGTGCCCTACCATCAATTTCTTTACTCTTTGGGCTGTAGGAATCAATGTCCTTTCCATCTTGCTTTTCCATACCCTCAAGATCTTGCACATTAGGAGGCAAGATGTTTGAAATGAATAAACTATGAGTTATTGGAAAGGTGGCAATAAAAGTCTCATCCACAGGTTGAAGTCAGAAACCGCCTCTTCCCCTTCCCATTCCTTTTCTCAAGGTTGTCCTTGTTTCCTTGCTTACTGTCAGTTCCTTAGCTACTTTGCCTGTGCCATTTCCTGCTCAGGTTGTCCTAAGGTGGTCTGGCTCAGAAATGCTCTGTGAGCAGAGTGGGAGGGCTGATGTGGTGCAGAGACCCTGGCTGAGCATGTGGATTCTTCCTCCCAGCAGAACCCTCTATCCAGAATTCGTGTTCTTACTGAGGGTCATTCAGGTTTTGGTCTGGCTTATAAGATAGGGCAATTAGATGCAATCAGCTGCCTGAGGATGCAGAACATAGCAGATGACTAGTAGAGGTAGTTTATGTTGTTCACCTTTGGAGAGTCATAATAAATTCCAGATCCAGCTATAGTTCCCAGTAGTTGGCTTGGATTACTTGTGCAGCTGTTGGTCTATGGTCTAGGTTAAATTCCACACTGCACCCCTGGGGTGAAGCAGGTGGCTACCTTGCTTGGTGTGTTACTCCTTTGAGGAAGATAATAGTCCTTCATTGTCCTGTCTCTCTTCAGTAATGGTAGAGCCAGGGGTGCTTTCTGTGAGTTCTGATTGCTGTGTTTGTGTGCCTTTGGTCTTCTACTCCAATTGGTAGTGTTGCTTGGAGTCAGAGCCTGTGCTTGGGAAAACTGCTTTTTCAGTGAAGCTCAGATATCCCTGGAGCTCTGTCATTGGAGCCTGGAAGACAAAGGCATCTATTAGCAAGGGTGGAGCTGGACCTGAGGCAAATAGTCCTGGCATTGTTGGGTACAAACCTATCTCTTTACTCTCAGCCTTTGTTCAGGTCTTTTTTGTTTGTTTATATGTCAGTTGTGGGGCTTGAACTCTGAGCCTGGCACTTTCCCTCAGCTTCTCAGCTCTTCAGCTCAAGGCGAATGCTCTACCATTTGAGTCACAGAGCCACTTCCTGTTTTCTGGTGGTTTATTAGAGCTAAGAAGAGTCTCATGGACTTTCTTGCCCAGGCTGACTTTGAACCGTGATCCTCAGATCTCAGCCTCCTGAGTAGCTAGTAATACAAGCATAAGCCACCAGTGTCTTGCTTATTTAGGTCTTATATTCAAAAGCTAGTGAAATTGTGGCTGGTAATGTGGCTTAATGGTAGAGTGCTTGCCTAGTATGCATGAAGCCCTGGGTTCTATTCTTTAGCACCACGTAAACAGAAAAAGCCAGAAGTGGCATTGTAGCTTATGTGGTAGAGTACTAGCCTCAGCGACAGTGCCCTGAGTTCAAGCTCCAGGAGTGGCAAAAAAAAAAAAAAAAGTTAGTGAATTAATAAATAGAGCTTTTCCTTTTGCACACAGATAAGGGAAGTTCTCAAGTTATGTTTAGGTTATTGGTTTGTACAGCTAACAAAATCACCCATCTATTAGGAGAGCTGTAATTATATTGAACTTCAGTGTGTATTATATATGATCAAATAACTAGGCACCAGGAGCCTAGTTACTTACTCTCATGCTAAAATGGGATGTGTTCAAATAGATGAATTTTTTTGGGGGGGGGTCCAGTCGTGGGGCCTGAACTCTGGGCCTGGCCACTGTCCCTCAGCTTTTCAGCTCAAAGCTAGCGCTCTACCACTTGAGCCACAGCGCCACTTCTGGCTTTTTTTCTTTTTGCTTATGTGGTACTGGGGAATCGAACCCAGGGCTTCATGCATGCAAGACAAGCGCTTTACTACTGAGCTACCTTCCCAGCCCCTAGATGAATTTTTATCATGACTTTGACTCTCTGAACTTGAGTAAAGAAAGAAAGTTGCTTTGTATTTAAAAAAAAAAAAAAAACTGCTGATACAGCCGGAAGGTATTTTTCTGTCCTGGCTTCCTTAGTATGAGTTTATTTCTTATCTTTTGAAGCAAGAAAAAGAAATCTTACATCTTGGCTCTCAAAATTCCTTAAGAGAATTTTAAAAGAAATTGGCTACCTCAGCTTCTTGTCTATATTTTCTGGGTAGTTTTATACATTTACAGATTTATTTGTGAAAGTATCAAGAAAAACATTTTACTTCACAGATGTTTTGGTTCCTATAAAGATTTTTTTAAAAGATCTTTTTAATGGTGATCACGTGTTTGCGTCTCCCCCTCCCCCCCAGAATTTTATTTCATGAAGTTAATTATTCTAACGCTAAGGTCAGAATTAGGTTGATATGACTTTGAAGAAATGGTTTAGGAACCATTTTCAGACACAATCTGGGTCAGACTTGATTTGCAGCTCATTCAATTTTAGAGTTGACTGTCATTTTGTAAACAGAAGTCTGCTGGATGAATTGAACAGAAGGGCGACATTAGCATATTCATAAGGTGCTGGCTACTGGCCTTCTTTTCTCCTCCCTCTTCTTTTCTCTTGTCTCTCTCCTTCCCTGAATGAGTCTAGGAACAGTCCCCCAGGGTGGCATGACGAGGTGGTTTCGTTCTGTTCACTGGCTTAATCTGGCCAGATCGGTCTGTGTTTCAGATTGCGGAAGCAGAAGATTCGTTATCTGAGAGGCATCCTTCAAGCTGCTGGAAATTGTTACAGAAGGAACACTTCCCAAATTTTGCTTCAAGCTCTGAAAAGGAGCACACTGGGGAAGCTTAGTCTCGCGTTGGATCAAGTAAATGCTGTCGGAGTGATGAACGGGGACTTTGTGTGCGGACTCCTGGCTTGATCTTGATAGGATTGGGTGTATGTTGTTGGAACTGGCAGGCCAAGAGGCCCTGAAACCAGCAGGTGCCATCTGTATGGAGAAAAGCGGCTGTAGTCCATTTCCAATGTGTTGGGCCAAAGGTATAAACAACCTAAAAAATCTGTTCAGTTTATGTTTTACTTTGTTTTTTTCATTAAGAAGGAAGATAAAGGTTTTCAAAATTGATTTATTACAAGTAGATTTAAAGTTAAATTTGAGAAAACTATGGAAGTTGTTGTGATATGGTTTTACAATATAGCCGTAAACCAGTTAGATAGCTTTTTGAATAGTAAGAAAAAGTTTTGTTTTGTTTTTTAAGTGACTTAAGCCTGCCTTCTCAGGTCTCTTATTTCTTGTAAATTAA